AAGAGAGAGAAAGAGAGAACTGTCTTTGGTATCTCTTCATGTAAGGACACTAATCTTATTGAATTAGGAACCCAACCTTATGACTTCATTTAACCTTAATTATCTCCACATAGGCCCTATCTCCAAATACAGTCACGTTGAAGGTTAGGGCTTCAACATTTAAATTTTGGGGGGACACAATTCTATCCATAGCAACCCCAATCTCTGCTTTCATGTTCACATAGTGTTCTCCCTGTGTGCATGTCTGTATCTGTGTCCAAATATTCCCTTTTTGTAAAGACCTCAGTCATACTGGATTAGTGGTCCACTTTAATCTTAACTAATTACGTCTGCAAACAACCTTATTTCTAAATAACGTCATATTGTAAGGTACTGGAGGGTAGGACTCTAACATTTGAATTTTGATCCATAACATGTATGTACCCTTTCCTGGGACCGGGCCATCCAACAGTTTAGGTAGTATCTTATTTTCATTTCTTATAGCAGATCCTGAGGCAAGACTTTGAGTTCTTGTACTTTGGGAAGTACAAGAACATGAGGAGAGCAGAGGCATGGGGAAGTAATATAGAAAAGAGTTTAGGATTAGGTCAACCTCCACAATGGTGACTGGGAAAATCTCATTAATACCATAGGGGGAAATATGGAAACATTAGCTCTCCGGAGAGGTGGGGAACAGGGATATTTAAACACCAATTTCCCTGTCTGTTGATGGTTGGTGGCTACTGTGTTTCCATTCTCTCTCTCTCTCTCTCATTATTTGCTTTAGCCTTTGCAAATTATTCCCGTGGAGAATGCATATTCATGAGCAAAGACACAAATCACCTTCATGCTCCACTTCTACCCCTGCTTTCTCTGTGTACTAATCTGGATTCCTACCAGCCTTCATTTGTCGTATCCAGGACAATACTCAGAAATGTTCACGTTAAACAAAAGTCTCTCCTAAGTCTCACATCTGGCATCACAAAGTCATCTGTAGGTCCAGCTGCATCTGGACACTAGGCTGTGTATTCCCGACTTACAGTCTAACTCTGGGAACTTAGCACAGAGCCTGTCTACATTCTTTATCTGCCACTAAGACAGAAAACAAACGAGCATAAAAGATTTGAAAAATATTTAGACTTTGCCTGCTTACAGAATTTAGCAATCTTAATTTATGTTCATGTCTTATCAGTGAACCTCTGCTAATAGGAATTCCATTTGGCGCTAAGTCATTTGGCCATAGACTGTGCCTTTTCAAGCCATCTCTAAATGTCCTTTGATTCCTAGAACATTTGGCCCATGTACATGACTGAGATAAAAGTAAAACAAAATAATTAACCCCAAACACTCTATCAAGCTTTAAAAAGACACACCCAAAAGCACAAAGATGAGAGTGAGAATTAGTAGTGATTCACAAGTGTCATCCCCAATTCTTTCAACCTGTCATGGCAATGATAACGGGTAAGATTTACAAATGCCTGAAGCAGGAAGTGGTAGATAAGAGGGAGTAATGAACTATGTCAACTGCTGCAAGTTTGGGTAAAATGAAAACAGAGCATTAGCTATTGGATTTAGCAAAATGCAAGACATTAGAGACCTTTACAGGAGGTCTTTCAGTGGAGTGGTGGAAAGGAAAACTTGATTACAGTAAACTGTGCAGAAAAGAGGAAGTGAGAAAGCAGAAATAGGGAATACGTGACAGCTCTTTTTTGGAGTGTAACTGTCCTAGGAAGCAGAAAAAATAAACAGTATTTGGAGAGTGTTATGAGGTCAGAAACATACACACATACACACACACATACACACACACACACTTTAAAGGCAGTCAACATCAAGGCATGAATTTAAGCCAAATGGAATGATCTAGTAGATAGTGAAGATAGTACAGCACAGAAAAAAGGGATAATTGAACAAATAGCCGAGTAAGAAAGAGTAGTGGACAGGGACCTCTGATGGAAAGAGGGACCCTAAGACGAGACATTGTGTACACATGCAGGCATGAATATGGGATTGGTGGGAACACGAGATTGTTTTCATCTAATTACATCTACTTTATTAAATATACATGAGGTCGTTCACTGGGCAGCAGCGGGGTGTGGATTGGGAGAAAGGATTGGAGTTTTGAGATGAAGGTTGTGTTAGTTTCTTAATGCCATAAAAAATTTCCACAAACCAGGAGGCTAAAAACTAAAAACAACAGAAATTTATTCTCAGTTCTGAAAGCTAGAGCCCCAAATCAAGGAGTTGTCAGGATCATGCTCCCCATGAAGACTCTGGGGGAGAATCCTTCCTTGCCTCTTCCAGTCTGTGGGGCTCCTGGCATTCCGCGGTTTGTGACAACATAACTCTAATCGTTTCATTTCAATAAGGCATTCTTCCCTAACCTTTGTGTTTCAAATTGTCCTTTCTTTTTTCTGACAAGTGCACCTGTCTTTGGATCCTAAATCAAGGACCACTTCCTCTTGAGATCCTTAACTTAAAAACACCTGCAAAACAACCAACCCTATTTCCCAAAAAGGTCACTGTTAGGTCTGGAGCCAAGAGAGAGAGAGAGAGAGA